CACACGAGTATATGAAATTCCTAGAACAGTGTTAGCATGTAGTAGATTGTCGATAAGAATGAATGGTTCTGTGATGCATATTTATTAACAAGGAAGGAAAGTTCTGTCAGACATACTTATCAGAATTTGTTTAGCTTTTACATTTTTTTGGGATGTTAGTACTTTCTCTAAAGTCATATGACTTAATTTTTAAACATACAGGAAGTCATGCGATATTTAATTTCTTTAAAATAGAAAATGACTGCTTTAAGTATGAATCCTTATTCCAGCAGTAAATTCACCTATATACACAGTTCATGTATGTGATGGCTAGTCTATCAAGAATATCAGAAAAAAAAAAATATATATATATATGTTGTTGCTATTGTTAGATGCCTACAAGTCTGTTCCAACTCACAGTGACCCTGTGTTTAACAGAATGAAATGTTGCTCAGTCCTGTGCCATCCTCACAATAGTAGGTATGTTTGAGCCCATTATTGCAGCCATTTTGTCAATCCATCTCATTAACAGTCTTCCTCTTTTTTGCCGACCCTTTACTTTACCAAGTATGATGCCCTTCTCTAGGGATTAGTCCTGCCTGACAACATGTTTTAAGTAAGCAAGACCATTTTCATGTCTAGGAGCATTCTGGTTGTACTTCTTCCAAGACAGATTTGTTTATTCTTCTGGCAGTCCACGGTATATTCTATATTCTTCGCCAACACCATAATTCAAATGCATCAATTCTTTTTTGGTCTTCCTTTTTCATTGTCCAGCATCGCAGTCATCCAAAGTGACATCTTTGTGTGTGTATATAATACTTATATGTATATATATCTCACTATTTTTTATTTCTATATGCCAATGTATCAGCACCATCATCATACTGATATTTAAATGCATTTTATTTGTCTGATCATATGCCTTGTGAAAAATGGATTTTGTCAGTAGATCCTTCAAGAAGTAATTAAAAGGTAGATTTGATAGTATTCCACTTCATCTTCAAGGGAAATATGATGGAATCAGAGAAGGGGATTGAGCTGGGCAATAAAAATTCAGTGAATATATGGCATCAGAGAAATAGGAGGGTGATGATGGAGGGGTTTAGGAGTTTGAGGTATACAAAAAAGATCTGAATTAGTTGCTAAAGGGAATTTGATTAGGAATAAAACAAAGATGAACAAAAAGAGATGCTGACTAGCACCCAAGGCCCAGCTGAGGTTAAACACTGTGAATTTGGAGTAAATCCAGTTGGCTGAGTACTTGAATTTCTCTAATAATATTCAGCAGCCCTGAGTGTAGAAAATGAAAGGTTAGATTAACCCATGATTAGGGATTGGAGCAGGGTGAAATTCAGTTACAATGGAATAGAGATGGAAATATTATACATTCTCCACCTCATTCAAATACCAATCCAAAATTGTAACTTCAAGTGTTTTTCCACTCAGATCTGTCCTACGTATACCTTAATACTGATTTTAGTTCACATTTCAGCTAAAATTGGCTAAAAAATATTTTCTGGCTGAATCAAAGTCTGAGTCTAGCTAATGATAGAAATGATAAATGATCTATAATTTTCTACCAATAAAAGCCTATGTATGGAGCTCTACATTTTTAACAATAGTAGTTTGGGAACCAATATTCTATACAGGTGAAGTCTCTAGGCAGTCCTTTGGAAACCATTTTTTGTATCTTGTGAACCCCTTCATCCCCTCCTTACAATCTGGTAAAAGAATTGTAACTCAAGCACATTCGTATAACAAATTTATTCAATAAACATTTAGTGTGTGTCTGCTACACACCAAACAGTCAATACATGGTGTGACCAATGACTTATGATGGGTGCTGACAGGGAAAGATAAATTGAGCCAAACAGATTCTCTCTTGGAAATCTGAGCCAAGGAACATTAAGCTAGCAAGACATTTGCTGTTGAAGCTGGAGCTGAAAGGCCACAGTATGGAGTGGGTCCGAAGGCCATGATGGCCATGTGTTAAGCAGTAGTTCACAGGAGGCAAAATCAAAGAGTAAGCCACGTAGAAAGAAAGAGTGGACAAACCTACAGATTCTCTCTGAGGGAGACCTCACATGGCCTGTGAAATAGAGATGGAGAAGGTTTCTCCCCAGAGCTGTCCCATTGGTTCTTGCAGTTAAAAGTCCATGTTTCATCTACGTACACAGAACAATAGGCTTCATTTTCTTAAGACAGTCTGTGTGATTCTCTGCTTCTTGACCCAAGAGGAGCCTAAGCAGAAGCTGCAATTTGAGTAATGATTTCACCACACATTTTTATGTTATGAGTACATGTAGTACTCTGCATGTACTCATATACTATGATCCACCCAATGAGATATAACAGTTGAACTCAGAACATATCATATTTATTTTTCTGTGTTTTCATATTTTGTCTAGTCGTTGAAGCCTGACTCTAAAGAATAAGCCTGAACATCCAAGCTTTGAGTGGGTGGAAAAGACCTGACTTTTATTAATATTTCCATCTTACAGCCTCTGTGTGGCCTAGACAATGTGACCAGTCAGAAGAGTGTTGGCTTTATGGTTGTGAAACCCTAGCTCTGAGCTCTGCCTCTAGCACTAGTCATGTAACTTTGGCCATGCCTGCTGCTTTCACCCTCTAAGCCTCAGTTGAGCATCTATAACAAGTACAAAACTATTTCACTCTAGGTAGGTTTTGGGGGATTAAAGGAAATACTGTATGTAGCAGCAGCTAGTACTGGCACCTGGTAGACACTCAATAATCTTCACTTCCATGTGTGGCTTGCCCAAGATCACATGTCTGGCAATGACCAGGAACCTGTACTGAAACCCACTCATAACCAATTTATATTCTCCGGTCCATGCATATCTATGTGTTCATGCACATAAATTCAGGTCATATTCAAACCTGGACATCATTACCTTCCAGATTCTTTGTGAAGAAGCTGTCTGTTGGTCGCTTCCTTCCTGATGTTCCAAATTGCCTTCTTTTTCATTTATGTTTTTGTTTTTTTTAATTCTTCTTAAGGAACTTCCTTAAGCCATTCTCTTAAGGAACAAATTTTCTTAGTTTTCCTTCAGCTGAGAATATCTTGATTTCCCCTTCATTCTTGAAGACTATATTCACCGGATATAGGATTCTGTGTAGACAGTTCTTTTCTTTCAGCACTTGAAGTATGTTGTTCCATTTCCTTCTGGACTCCATGGTTTCTGATGAGAAATCCATTGTCAATAGAATTGTTTGTTCCCTGTAGGTAAGACGTTGTGTTGCTCTTGCTGCTTTCAAAGTTTTTTCTTTGTCTTTAGTTCTCAGAACTTTGACTATGATATGTTTTTGTGTGGGTTTCTTTGGATCTATTCTGTTTGGGTTTGCTCAGCTTCTTGAATCTGTAGGTTTATGTCTTTTGTAAGATTTGAAAAGTTTTGAGGCAAAAAGAAAACCCAGGAAAATCACTACCATATAGTTCCTTGGTCCTGTGGTTTTTAGCTGATCTGTCTTCTTTCCACCTTTCAGGGTCTTCTTAGATTGTTTTATACAAATAGGGATTTTAGTTGTACTTAGTGGGAGGCATAGAGAAAAATACATCTACTCCATCATCTTGGAAGAAGATCACTCCCATTAGAATTTTGATGCATATTATTTCATAAGAGGATGTTAACTCTGATTGTCAAATTGGCAATCTGCACACCACTTTCTTGCCAGAGAATATAAGTGATGCTAAACTTCCTGCTTTGCAAAAACCGTCAATGCCATGTAATGAGAAGTCATATTAATGGAGAATTACCTGAGAGTTAGCCCCAGTGGTGCAGTGGTTAAGCATTTGACTGCTAACCAAAAGGTCAGCAGTTCAAACCCACCAGCCGCATCGTGGGACAAAGATGTGGTAGTCTGCTTTTATAAAGATTACAGCCTTAGAAACCCTATGAGGCAGTTCTACTCTGTCCTATAGGGTCGCTATAAGTCAGAATTGATTCAGTGGCACACAACAACAACAGTAGCCCAGTCATCGTATTAAAAATTTAATTCCTGGATCAAGTGAGACCATCAAAGATCTGTATATGTGGCCCCTCAAAGAAATGCTTATACTAAAATGTGCTATAGCACTGTACTCGGTCCATGCTGAGGAACATGGTGAGAAACAAATTAGTTGTTTAAAATTATTTACAAACAAATAAATTATTTAAAATTAAGTAGTTTGCAGGGATGCTCTTAATTAACTAATTTGCAGGGATGCTAGTAAGTGTGAAGTTCACTAATTTTTAAAGTATCCCTTTATGAAGACAATAGAAGGATTTCCCTCAGCTTTGTACCACAAGAAGCTGAACAACTGATGTATTTTTATATCTTGAAATTTATGAAGCCAATGGCTTCCTTTGTGCTGGCTTCCAGGAAGCTCAGGGAAATTTGATAACCCCTGCAGTGTCTTGTGGCATACATTTTATGTACTGGCCTTACCCTGACTTTATTTTATTCTTAAATTGAGATTTTGTTTTTACCCAGATTTCTTCATGTTTTTATTTTTTATCCAGTAGCATAGTATACATTTTCATACCTCATCACATTTATTTTAGAAACAGATGGGTGAGTGAATACATCAAAAAGAGAGAGGTTTTGTAAGCCCTTGATAGGAAAAGAAATGGACCTTGGGTTTGTCCTCTATTCAGGATGATGTTGTTGCTAGTTGTCATTGAGTCCATTCTGATTCATGGCAACCTCATGTGTGCAGAGTAGAACTGCTCCATAGAGTTTTCAAGGTTGTGGCCTTTCAGAAGTATATCACCAGGCCTGTCTTCTGAGGTGCCTCTGGGTGGGTTTGAACCAACAACCTTTTGGTTAGTAGTTGAACGCTTAACTGTATGCACCACCCAGGGACTCCTTACTCATAATAGGAAGTTAATGAGTGCTACCATTTTGATCCCACACTGCCTCTTTCTTAGAGGCCCTATACAAGTATATTTGTTGTCACATAATTTACAGTATATTTTTAGACATAGCTTTTTAAAAGGGCAGACAAACACAAGTACTACCTGTAGGACTGAAGCACCACTGTGGAGAAACTGGAGACCACTTTCAGCTGAATCAATTCCACCAGTGGCTAAAATGGGAAATCCAGGCAAAGCACGAGCAATGGAGGTGACGGCTCTCAAAGCAATGGGTCTGATAGCTGTCCCTACAGAACACGAGAATGATCAGCTGTTAGCATAATAATCACTTGAACATATTGCCTTATACTTAGTATCACGTGATGGCAGTGTTGTACTAGACAAAACTCAAATTTGTATTACATCTATTTAAAATATACAGACATGTAATATAAAATGTTCTTATGTTTCAAAGTATGTTAATCTGTAAATGAATGTGTATTTATTTTGAGAACTTTGATGCTATTATTGCATGCAGACGTGTTATGCAAGTGGGTGTAGCAGCCCTGAAATTCTTGCATAAAATGCATGCATATTACATTTTGATATACAATAATGTGTAAAAAATTGTATGGAACATTCAAGCATCTGTTTAAAAAAAAAAGAACAAGGAACAGCAGATTTTGAAGAAGAAAAATAATCACATACAGTGCATAAATAGACATATAACTCTGTTATGTTTCCACAAAGTATAAAGCAGCTGGTATGAACATAGATACTGTAAAAACAAGTAAGGTGCTGATGAACTTACAGATTCCATATTGCTTTTTACATGTATTTCCCACAATCCACTGAAGCATAGTGAGCCTGCTCTAATTTTTCATATATTAGAAAGTTCTAAGTTAAGCAGCATTTATTAGAATCCAGTAATTAGAAACTAAATGTTTAATTATTTTCTACTTCATTTGCGAGATGTTAGTAGTGTATATTCTCTAATGGTAATGAAAATTCCATGGATGGAGAAGACATTTCGAGGTCATTTTATTGAATGATTCTGCTATACTAAAGCTATTTTGGACTCTGACGTGTTAATGTATCTTGGAGTAAATTAGTACTGCCAAAATATGGGAATATTATTTGACATTGCTGGTGTACACTCACAAGCCAGCGACCCTTTAAAGACATTTTATGAGTTAAAAGTAGTTCTATTCATGCAAGAATTTGACACTGACTCAATACAGAGCTTCACACCCAAGACAAACAAGCAACTGGTGACATCAGCCTCATGCGTTAAGTACTTTACCATCACCACCATCACAAGCATCTTCACTAGCATTATCAATACATATTTACTGAAGTGCTCAATTCAAGGAATCACAAAGCTTTCTTTAATTTCAGTGGCACTCTCTTTATTCCATTCATATCCATTTCAGATGAAGTCGAATTTATATGTAACTGATACTTCTGCACTCACATCTAGAAAACATATGTGTTAGTGATTTTAAGTCAAGAATGTTCAAGGCTGACACTTTAGAATTCTGGAACTGGCATTTATATATATAAACAAGGCATTAAGTTAGGGCAAATTAGTAACTCTACGTCAGGATACCATTCCTATCTCAAGATTATCAGTGTCTTCTTAGTCTTTATGTTTTAACATTAAAGAAGGTGAACATAGGGAACACACTCGTACACACACACAGCCACATTTCTATACACACATCTTTAGCTATACTAAAAAGAAACCCAAGTAAGAATAAAAGTTACAGGCAAGCATTTTTTAAGGAAACAGTAACATAGTAAAATTGTTATGCTCAATACACACTAAGCTGATGATTTCTTCACATAAATGTACCTTTGAACTAATAAAGAAGTATTGGGATTCTCTCCCCCCTCCCCCTTAGAGAGTAAAGGAAATTTGAGCTAGGCAGATTAATAATTTATTTCTAACTTCACTGTCAGAAGACTATCATTAACACTAAGGGGTAAAATTTCAAAGTGGTACACAGGGATTTGGCCGCATATTCCAATTGATATTAATGGACATCAAATGGCAAAATCCTGGAACACAGCTTTGAAAATTTAACTGGTTATATTTAAAGGGCAACATTATTACAAAGGTGTTAAAAAACATCAGCAAATCCTCAGTGGCATTTGAAGATGTTCAATTAGGTCAATAAAACATTTTTTTTTTCATGTTTTTCTGCCTTTTCTAAAACTTTTTTAATCTACCTAATGAACATGAAAACCTTTCAAACTAATAAAAGTATGGTTTTAAAAAATTAAGAGTAATTATGATTTCTGAGGAAAGGTGATTCAAAGATGAAGAAATGGATCCTTTTGTTGCTGGGCAATAGTAAATTCAGTTTTTATTTCCATTCTAAACTACATTTGATTTTTTAAAATAATTCAACTGGTTTAATATAAAATGTAGTGTACTTGTTTTGAGCATTTTAATGGAAAATAGACTTTTGAAAATGACTTTCATTCACCATGAAAAGTCTTCATATAAAGAGATTTCTTTTTAATTTTAAAATCATAGAAATGAATAATGTTCAAAATAAAACTTTTAGTATAAAGAAAATACAGATATTAATACCATATAGAGTTGTATAATTAAGATGCATAAAGACTTCCAGAATCACAGTTAGTGAAATAAATAATTTTAAAATTTTGTCATTGTTACAATGATAAATGATTTTAGACCATCGACCAGTGTTATAGATTTAACCGTTATCTCCCCTAAAATATGTGTTCTAAATCCTAACCCCTATACATGTGTATGTAATTCCATCTGGGAATAGAATTTTCTTTGTTATGTTAATGAGACTACATCAATGCAGGGTATGTTTTGAAATTCCGTCTGGGAATAGGATTTTCTTTGCTATGTTAATAAGGCTACATCAAAGTAGGGTATGTTTTGAGCCAATCACTTTTGAGATATAAAAGGAGGAGATTAGGCACAGAAGCAAAGACAAATAGGGAAGACAGATGCCACATGAAGATTGCCAAGGAACCGAGGACCAGAAGCTGAAAGAGACAAAGATCTTCCCTCAGAGATGACAGAAAGAGAGCCTTAACCTAGAGCCAGTGCCTTGAATTTGGACTTCTAGCCTCCTAAACTGTGAGAAAATAAATTTCTGTTCATTAAAGCCACCCACTTGTGTTATTTCTGTTACAGCAGCAGTAAGACACTAAGACAACTGGGGAGGAAGGATTTAGTTTGAGAGATTCAAGGAATGTGAATGTGGACTCCATTTTTAATGAAACGAGGTTTAAATCAAGAAATTGAAACCCTATAAGCTTAAATGAGTGCAATTTAAATTAAGCCCTCATCTACATGCGGTGGCTGGATGAACCTGATGGGACACTCAGTGACATCAAGCCATTGTGCTTTAACTGTGAAATCCTCCATTGAAAATCAAGCCAATCCAAGTCCCCATATTTTGAAACAAAATGCAAGTTTAAACAAACAAACAGAAAATGAGCTGGACCTTTTTGAGTTCCAACATTGCTGCCAAGAATTCTGATTTGTATTAAAGTGGACCTGGTGGAAAAGCTAGTTGACTAGACGGAACTGTAACTTTTGTTCTTTAATTAATCTAGGACAGCCATATAAATTTAAAATACAAATGAGCGTGTTGAATTCATAGATCTTACCTGATAAACTGCAAGTACACTTTTGGATTGATTCATTTACCAGAAAAACATGTTAGTAAGCCAAGTATTTTGAATTAAATTAATTAATCTGATTTTGATGAAACTTTTTTCTTAAAAATAAATGATACTATCATTTGTCAAATATCATTTTCAGTGCAGTTTCAACAGCACTAAGATTAGAAATAATATTATGTATTGATATGTATATTAATGTATATGACTTAATCAAGTTCCTTACTCAGTCTTCATTTATCCATCCATCTGTCCATCCAAGGAATATTTATTAAAAACCAATGTCTTTTTTTTTTTTTTAATATGTTCATACCTGAATCTGAAAAGCTTAAAAGAACTATTCTAGTTAAACCAGTTTTGTCAACCAGGACAGATACCCAAAACACCAGAGGACGTTATTTCAAGATAAATAATATGAATCCAATTGTTCAGTCTATACAGGGTTTCTACTAGGAAAAATTAACTTTGGTTTGAACACAAGACATTTTATAAATATAAATATTACTAATATGGATTCTACAAAAAATGCTAGTTGAGGGTAAATTAGTTACAACATCAAACAGGCATGGGGTCAGACGGCTTAGATTCAAATCCTAGCTCCACTAATTACCAGCTGTGTGACCTTGTGAAAATTTCTCATTTATTGTACCTCACTACCTCAGTTTTGTTACCTATAAAATAATCAAAATTATAATCACAACTTCATAGTGTTGTTGAGATGATTCAAATACATACATACCTACATATGTAAAGGACTAGCACATAATGAAAACTGTAGAAGTGTTTGCTATTATAATCTATGCTGCTCTCAATGATCACAATTGATTTCAGAGGGTGCATTTATGTAGCCTACTTTGACAGTGCCTTTTACATTGTTCCTGTGTGTTTAGTGATGCAATGAAACTTATTTTCTTATTGGAGAGACAAAGATGATGCCTATGGTAACAGAGCTTTATACCCTCTGATACCTTAGGAAAACCACGTATCTCCCCTCCTTTTTCTCCTTTCCTAATAGCTCTCATTTTGCAGTTTCACGATGCTGGTTAAGATTACTTTAACTGACCCCAAGGCTAAAAATCTCAAAGGCAGACATCAATATATTTATAATTTTTTTTCCCTGAGAATCAAAAGTTCCATGCACTAAACCCATATACAACGATCTTAATGACAACATCCTTGAAAAAAAAATGGAGTTTTTAATGGGAAAGATAATGTCGAACATATGCTAATTTTGGATAACTGGAATTTTGAATAATTGAGTTTAGTTCTGTTTGATTTTTGGCTAATCATTTGACCTCTAACAGCTACTGTTACACAATTAATTGTTAAAAATAACTCCATGATAAACTCCCTCATAGTAGCTCTGTTGTAGTTAGGTGCTGTTGAGTCATTTCCGGCTCATAGTGACCCTATGTACAACAGAATGAAACACTGCCTAGAGCTGCACCATTCTCACAATTATTGTTATGTCTGAGCCCATTGTTGCAGCCACTGTATCAATGCACCTCATTGAGGGTCTTCCAATTTTTCACTGACCCTCTACTTTACCAAGCATGATGTCCTTCTCCAGGGACTAGTCCCTCCTGATAACAAGTCCAAAGTATATAAGATGGAGTCTTGCAATCCTCATTTCTAA